TAGTCTGCCAATTGGCTCAGTTCTGTTGGACGTGGAGGGAGGTAGACCCTTCCTTTTACATTGAAAGAATGGTCTATCAGTAGTTGAGAAATGTAGAAGAATGCCTAAAGTATACTTTTGTATTTAATTGTCCTTCTGAAATAAGCAAGAGGGGAAAGCATTTCAATATAGTAAAAAATATCTCTTTTCTTTGAGAAGAAAGCCCATCAGTGGCAAGCTGCTAATCATGATATTAAGTGGTTATACATAATTTAGGTTCACCAGGCTAACCTGTAGTACAGAAAAAATAGAACTGAAGAGGAAGACTGTTCCAGTTAATATTGAAGTGAATTCAGTGAATCTATCTCTTCCCAATTGTTTATCTTAAAATCTGTCCTATGTTGTCTGTCCATTTTTGCTTGTGTATTAAGCTGTTTTTTTCTTAAATTGTTTTTGTTTTAAAGGGGTGGAGGTTTGATTGCTGCAAATGGCTAAATTGTAAAATTAATCTCATAAAGTACAGCTTCTAATATGAGTTTTTCACATCCCTGGTGAAGAGTTAGTTGAGAATTCCTCTTTGCTGCTTTAGATCACATTCTTGCCCACCCACTCTGGTAATTTTAAAATTACCTATGGGTGGTGTAATAGTTTGGAGTTCTATAGTAGTACCTTTCATTTGAGGATTCTTAATGGCTTTTTAAGCAATGAATTAAGCTTTACAACACTCCTTGTAAAATAGGTAAGAAATACTAACTTCAGTTTGTAGATTGAGGGGAAGGGAAACAGATATGAAGTGACATGGATAGAGTTGTGTGTCAGTGTCGGAGCTATGATTTAGAACCTAGATCTGCTTACTCCAGTTCTGTGCACTGACTATTTGATACTCAGGAAGGAGAATACATATAAACGTATTCTTGGTGAAATAGTTTGAGAGACTTAGTTACTGGTCTGTGGCCCAATAGATTATATTGAATTGGAAATCAGTCTTTCACCTGTGCAACTTCTATGTCCACAAAAACAAAACAAAAAATACCCCACCCCTTAATAGCTGAAGACCTGTTCTAATCCTAGAGGGATATTTCCCCTCTGCAGTGTGTATCCTTTTAGGAGAAAAATTCAATGTACTTAATACAGTCTTTCATAGAGCAAACCTCTTTCATGCAAAGAGGTTTACAAAACCTGTATCCCAGGTTACGATAGCCAGGCTCCAAAGTTCCTGCTTCAGGGCCCATTGTGACACAACCTTTATTCATAAAAGCAGTCCCACTGAAATCAGTGAAATCAGTGGGACTGAATATAGTTATAGAATTATACCTTTGAGCTTAATATCCCAGAATGCCAAAAGAAGTCCCTCTGGTGGTAGTTCATTGTAAGAAAATCCCTATTTATAATGTCAGGTTTCAGAGTAGCAGCCGTGTTAGTCTGTATCCGCAAAAAGAACAGGAGTACTTGTGGCACCTTAGAGACTAACAAATTTATTAGAGCATAAGCTTTCGTGGGCTACAGCCCACTTCTTCGGATGCATATAGAATGGAACATATATTGAGGAGATATATATATATATATATATATATATATATATATATACACACATACAGAGAGCATGAACAGGTGGGAGTTGTCTTACCAACTCTGAGAGGCCAATTAAGTAAGAGAAAAAAA